AAGGTGGGGAAAGTTAGAATATCTTATTCATTGGTGTGGCTATGACATTAATGAGCAAACGTGGGAGCCAGCTGAAAATCTTGCGAATGCGCCACAAAAGGTACAGGAGTTTCATCAACGACATCCCGATAAACCTAAATCAATTTGATGATAGCTTCTTTCTGAAGCTTGTTCTCCCAACAATATAAGAAAAGGGGAGAGCACCAGCAAAATTCATAGTTGATGTAGTTATTTTCTCCAAGATAGATCGTAGTTTGGTCTTTTGATATGGATAGCCAAGAGATAGATACTATGCCAGTCAAAGTATCTCAACCGAGTAGCTCACGAAGGCGACCCCGAGATGAAGAACTACATGTACCATGACGACGACGGAGGATACCGAGTAATCAATCACTGGTGATCGTATTTGAGATCGAGCCTGCTTACAATGGTCAACCAGAGGCGTGTTTGCAGGACAATTTCACAATGAGGACACGGAAGTTCATGCTTGGTCAGAAGTCGAAGGCGTGGGCCACTACCGTTGGCTTCAAGGGTCGATGAACCACTTGCCTCGTGAACAACAGTTGGAGTTCATAGGAGAAGTTATGCGACAGATCTTCATTTTCTTGCGTTGGTACTGATCAACAACATTGCTTCTCAGAGACCTCGAAGCTAAAAGAGGGGATGATGTTAGGGACATATTCCTTAGAACTTTCTAGAGAGAAGTTTCTAGAACCTTCTAGAAAACAAGCCTTTGCAACCTTCTAGAAGAAAAGCCTCTAGAACCTTTTAGAGAGAAGTTTCTAGAAGCTTCTAGAAAGGAAGTCTTTGGAACCTTCTAGAAGAGAAGTTTCTAGAAGCTTCTAGAAAGGAATGCCCTCAAACTTTCTAGAAGCTTCCTAGTTAATAGAAGTAGCTCAAGAAGTTTCTAGAACCTTCTAGAAAGGAAGCCTCTCGAACCTTCTAGAAGCTTCCTTGTTAATAGAAGTAGCTCGAGAAGCTTCCTAAGTAGGAGTATATATAGGGATCGAGGCTGAAGAGTTCTTCAGTCTCGACAACACACCTCTTAGAGTTCTAGCTCACCTTTTTGGTGTTGTTCTTGTACTCATCTCTTTAATCTAGTTTTGTCACTTCTTCTTGAACTTCTTGTTAGATTTCAAGTCTGTATTTTGTGTCCGTAACACTGAAGCATCTTTTGAAACTTTAAAGTCAGCCTTTATTTTTGCACCAATCTTGTATCATGTCAACTTTTTTATGGAAATATATGCATTAGACTTTGCTTTGGATGCCGTATTATCATAAATAGAAACATGTAATAAAATTCATCTAGTAGCTTTTCATTTCAAAAAAATTTCAGCAGCGAAGATTAACTATGAAATTCACGACAAAAAATTTCTTATTATCATAGTTTCATTTCAAGAATGGTGTCATCATCTAAAAGATACTTTTAATCTAGTCACCATATATACGAATCACAAGAATCTTGAGTATTTCATGTCAACACGTGTTTTAAATTATCGCCAAGCTCGTTGGAGCATATCTTTATTAAGATTTGATTTCAAGATCACATATTGATCCACAAAATAAGATGGGTCATTATGGATGTTTGTCAAACGCCCTTTCTAGACATTCTTATCTTGCACCAAAAGAAGGAGATGTATCTTTTGATCAACAAAAAATAATTTTCTTAAAACCAAAGCGTTTTCATCTACAAGTAATGAAATCAACATTGATTGTTGATTTGACTCTTGTGAAACAAATCCAATCAAGTTGATTATACATTCTAAAATAAGAAGCACAATTAGGTGTTCTTCAAGCACGTCACGACTTTCCAACATCAGGATATTTTGGATATAATAAGACTATGGAACTTATATCCAAAAGATTTCTAGTGGCCACAAATGTGGAAGGGTGTGAAAGACTTTGTTCAGTCATGTAATATTTGTTCAAGATAAAAAAACTCCTCGTCATCAACCATACAGACTTTTTCAATCATTATCTATTCCAAAACAACCATGGTCTTATGTTTCTATGGATTTTATCATGGATCTTCCTATCTCAGGTTTTTATGACTCGATATTTATGATAGTAGATTGTTTTATCAAGATGGCATATTTTGTACCCTGTACAAAATCTATCACAAGTAAAAAAATAAATAAATTTTTTCTTGACAACATCTATCGCTATCATGGGTTATCTAAGGATATTATATTTGATAGAGGAACTTAGTTTATATCAAGATTTTGGTAGACTCTTTTTAAGATTCTAAAAGTGGATATAAAACTATTTTCAGCATTTTATCTTCAAATTAATAGACAAACGGAGCATATTAATCAAGTTTTGGAGCAGTATTTAAGATGTACCATCAACTACCAACAAGATGATTGGACAATTCTTTTGCCATTGGTAGAGTTTGTTTATAATAAGATAGTACATTCTTCTACAAAACAAATACCTTTTTTTGTCAATTATGGTTATCATCCATGACTTGATACTTTTGACTTTTCAAAAGTTGATAATCCTATGGTAGAAGTTTTGACAAATCATTTATTAAATTTATATGCAATAATGAAGGCGTAATTAAAAGAAGCTCAAGAACAATAAAAGATCAATGTAGATGTCTATTAAAAGAAACAAGCACCATTCTACATGGGTGATAAGATATGGTTACTTCATTGTAATGTCAAGAACAGTCATTTGTGTGATAAATTGGACTATCCTAGGTTTGGATAATTTCCTATTTCTGTACAAATCAATCCATTTGCATATTGTTTACACTTACCGGAGTCAATAAAAATCCATTAAGTATTCCACGTATGTCTTTTTGAATCATACAAGATAATGGACATACCAATAAGAAGACAAGCTCCACCTCCTACTATAGAAGTGAACAATAATGAAGAGTTCGAAGAGGAAGAAGTCCTAGATTCAAGGTGGTGCCAAAATAAATTAGAATATCTTGTCCATTGGTACACATATGATATTAGTGAATGCTTATGGGAGCCAATAAAGAATCTTGTAAATGCAGCAAAGGCGGTGGAGGCTTTTCATTGACAACATCTATCAAAATCAAAATAAAAACCTTTTGTATAAAAGAAATAAAATTTAGATAAGATAAAATTCTACTTTTAATCCTTGTTTGTAGCTTCTTTGTAGTTGTGACACTAAGGAGATGAAGAACCAACAACCAACAGATTTGACTGAAGAACCTTCGTTTGCTGATCTGCTGGATAAGATATTGCGATTGTCACTACCTTCAAGAAGATGCAATCGAGATGAAGATCCTCAAGAATGACATGTTTTTCTTCAAATAGATGGTGAGATACAACACGTTTGGTATCACAACACTAGAAGAGACTCCTAATGATTGGTAATTTTATTAGAGGTAGGAACAATTTCTGATGGTGTTCCAAATATTTTATTTGAAGGAAGTTATGAAGGTCTCAACAACGTTCAAATAACAAGGTGATTTTTCCGCCTTGGTATAGGACACTATCAATAGTTGAAATGCCCTATCAACCATCTTCAAAGAGAACAAAGATCTAATTATGTGGCAAATACAATTCGTTGCATTATAGATTTCTTCAACATATGATGACCACTTCTCATGGAATTTGTTCCTAGAACAAGGGATAATATCAGAGACATATACATGTAAGCCAATAATTATCTGTATAAATAGGTAGAAATAAATAGAAGTAGGTAAAAGTAGGTTAATTCTATAATATCTTCTATAGAAGTTTTCTAGAAGCTTTATAAATACTGCTTTGACTTTATAGGTGTCTATAATTGACTTTTTGGATTAGAAAAGTGATCAACAAGTTGGCCATGTGCCACACATGTTGTTAGCTTGAAGACCAAACTAACTATTTGGTCTACACATAAAAAAAACTTACCTTGTAAGTTAAGGCATGTGTCCTACAAAGTCAATATATACTGGAGGTCCTATAGAACATTGCCATGTAGCCTCTAGTTAGATAGTATATATAAAGACAAGAGTGAAGCCCTTTTCATTCTTGTCAATTCTTTTTTTGCTTTTAGTCTAATTTTTAGAGTCTCAATTTTTCTTGTCTTTTGAGAATAAGTCATTCCAATTTTTTTTTAATATATGTACTTCCTTATTTCTATTTTGTTATTCTTTCTTTGACACGAATTTCATTGGTTTATGCATCATCTTTTAGTTCATGTCCTTAACAATAAGACAAGTTTAACATCTAGAATCTTGTCACTTCAATCAAACATTTACTTACATGTCTCTATGATCTTGCCATATATCAAATCCAATAGCCATGTCTTATAAATACTCTAGAATTGATTTATATTATTCTTATTTTTTATATGAGCATATTCAAGTTTGGAATTGCTTTCTATCAATAGATCAATTAGTGTCTTTGCAATTCATATTGGGAAGTACAATGCTTAGAAATAGGATACATAGTACCTCTTGCTATTGGCAGTAGCTACAAAGCTTGAAAACAAAATATAAGATCAAAAATTGGAATGAGCTAAAAGAAGAATAAGCAACAAACCCAATAAGATGCTTCAAGTGCATATAGAATATGAAAACTATACCTAAATTTTAAACAAAGATATACTAGAACTCAATATCTAATTGGATCTACAAACAAACATGCCAAACTACCCTCAAAATACTAGGCTGCCCACCTTTGGGACAAAGTATTTTTCTAATGCAGCTGCCCACCACCCATCCCTATCGACAGTATGAATGACAAGTAGATGAAATATAAAAAAACTCGGAGTGGGAGATGGGCACCTGTTCTGCGAAATTGGCTACGGAACAGAATGGCGCAACTTCCGGAGAAAGCTATGAAGCAGGGGTAAGCTCCAAACTGCCGACTAAGTACCTAAAACCACAACTTCATCTTGCTATCTGATTCGATGTACAGACACAGTCTTCCAACAGCGCAGTAATCAACGCTGTGCAGTAGATCGAAAACCAATGCAACCTTCTCGACACACCAGATGCATTCTGCAAGGCTCGGAATTGAAACACCGACAAGATGACCAATGATTTGACACTCCAAGTCCCTAGCAAACCGAAGTTGTCCCGCCTTGCAGCTCGTTGCCACTTTCCTGCAATCGCATCATTGGATCCCTTTGTCGTGCTTTCGCAAGCTTGGGTCGTTGGTAAGGAGGATGGTTACACATTCCTTGGGAGGCGATCTGAGCAAGTGTATGAAGACTAGGATCTAAATGAAGACGCTACACATCGTGGAGGAATGCAACAATATTTGGGTGTCGTTGGATTTGTTTCCAAGCAGATTTTGTTCTCGAATTCGAAGAACGACAGACCCATATACTGTAACCCTTATCTAGCTTCTATAGTGGGGTCAAGACTCTGAATTTAGCCGAAAGGCGACTCGACTTGTGCCTCTCCATGGAGCACTATGAAAGTGTTCTGGGTTCTTTTGAAGACGACTAGGGGTTGACGCCAAAGCAACGGAGCTTCGAAGCACAGCTTTCGTTTCTCGAACAAACTGGAAATTAAGCTTCTGGGTGAGTCTGATTGACAAATCTCAATCTGCGTTCACCACTTGGCGGAGTTACAGCGATTCCGGGACCACGTGGCCAGCTGCAGCAGCGATTCCTAAGTGCAAGTTTTATCGTGTTCGTCACCATGTGCTACAAAGGGGTCCAACATTCCTCCTCATTCCCACCATTCTCTATTCTGACTGCAAGCATCACAACAAACCCCTTTGTTGTCGTCATTGCACTTGTTGCAGCGTCTCGTTTATTACGGCGTTCTTTTCTTTTTCCCTTTCTCGGTTCCCAATCTTCATCAGCATGTCGACCTATGATGACACCACGGCTGCTGCAGCTCAGAAGAGTGAGGAAACAAAGGGCGCCGCTCAGGTACGTTCAGTTGTTCCAGGTGGTTCAGAATTCCCACTTCATGACACATTTCTCTTGTTGCACCATCAGTTATTGTCACTTATGCCCGCCTAAGGTCTGGTTTGCCTGGACATTGACAGGATTTTACCGGACCAGCTCAGCAGAAGGCTGGCGAAGCTGGCGGATTTGCCCAAGATAAAGGGATCCAAGCCAAAGACGGCGTCAGCGGCGTGGTGAAGCAGGTGCGTCGTCCCTCTTATAGTTTTCTCTGAACCATTTGTTGCACTTCGCAAGATTTAGTGCCTAATCCAAATTCGACTCTCATACCGAAAACGGTTTCAAATTTGTGCACAGGCTGGAGATGCAATTGGCAACGCAGCTCAGTCAGTGGCAGATACCGTTAATCCAAACAAGTCGGATTGAGCCCTTGCATCGCTGCATCGTCCAAGTTGATTTTGTACAGCTCACTGCAATTTGGGCGCGATTCGGAAGTAACTGATTGTTAATCTTGCAGTAGTGACTACACGCATAATCTGGCTTAGAGAAAGTATTGTAATTTGTGAAGACGTTATTTACACTGAATAGCATTTCGATCTTTCTCCTCCAGTGTATGTTCACCTCTGCAATCAACCGTTTGTTCACAGTTAAAGGAGTTGAATACGAAAATCGCAGCAAATTTTCCAACTAATGTTGTGTGCAGTAGATGGCAACAGTGACCAAAAGTAGGTTTCATATTGTTCTACTTATCAGTGTGATGTTTCATTCAAATTATGTAGGAAAATACGTAAATTAGCAACCTAATAGTATGTTGAAACTGCACTGGAACCGCTATGCACTGTAAGACCACTTACACTGCTTGAAAATATTCTGAAGAATACTAACACATTGACCGGCTACTGTACTCACTTTGTTGAGGAAAACAATGTTTCTGTAATTAGGAGCTGGGCACTCCGCAGTTTTCATTTGATGCGTTGCACAACACAGCTGTGGCAACCCTGAAATGATACCCAAATTTTCTGAGTACTAACCAGGAGGACAATTCTAATCAAACATACACTTCACTCATTTATTATACTTTATTACGTCGTACAATATGATTTCTTGTCTTCTGTAAACAATAGCAACACCAGCCCGAGTTCTGATGAGAAAGGAGAAACAACCCAAGGTTTCATATCCACTCACACCTTAATCTCACCCTTCCAAATGTCACCACGAAACTGATCCAAGGAAAAAGGTAGCAACACACTTCTATAATAATTGAGTTCAGCACAATATACAATCTCTGTAACCATCAAATGCACTTCTTCTGATAAATCGGTGCTTGTTCATATGCAAAGTCGAAATACAGTTACTGTCATGCAACACACCGTAATCTGACAATGCTCACACTACCAGGATCACCGGTAACACAAAAATGGACGTACAAATAAGGTGTGCGCAATCCACATAAGACTCGTTGACGAGAGGTCAAAGATTTTGAGCTAGAATCACCTAGGCGCTTAACTAGACGATGTTACAAATTGCGTTCTAGTCTACCTGTGTTTGCACGAGCAAATTGAATAGCCAGGTGGAATTGTTACAAACGGGACAACTACAATGAGTACACGCTTTTCAATACCAGAATTGAAGCCGTGAAACAGCAGGAATAACACCTTGATAAACGCAGCGCCAACATGGTAAATAGAAATCACTCCGTCATTGTTCACCTGGAATATGAGGGATGTCTACTGGCCGACCAATGGTCACGGGATCTCCCACGCCTCCGTCGATGTCCCTTTCGCAAGCAGAGGCTCATGGCGAAACCCCTACACTTCTCCTCATGGTGATGGTGTACACTGAGCCACTGGAGCAGTGAGATGAAGCGAACAGAGAGGAGTTCAAACAAGAAATAGTAGCCATGAGACAGAGAGAGCATACTTCAAAGTAGAGGAAGGAGTTATGAGACGAGAGAGCAGAGAAAGTAGTTATATGAAGAGAGACAGGAGAGAGCGGATTATTGGAATGAACGAGTTGGTACGATCCGTCCCGAAAACACAGGGAATTCATCAGTTTCTCATCGTACATGATCGCGGTTCCATCGCCCAATCAATCATCCGAAAAACTAAGACACCCAACTCGATCAAGTCGTACGGCGGAGATGAGACATGTGAAATGAGGTTGAAGGAGGAGACCCTCGCCCCATAAAGCGCGGCACAGGGAAAATGTAGCGGCCTGGGGCTGGGCCTGACCATTGGTTGCAAGGGGGTTCCACGCTGGTGAGCCCCGCCCACCCCCACGAGAGACATTACTTCGAAACTCATCATCGCTTCTTACTCGGTTCAACTTGGAGGATCTTCAGAATCGTTGCAGCAACCTTAGTAACTTTTTCTTGGAATAAGTGTGGTGAATAATTTCGAATTGGTCTATCACTAGAAGTGCACTTCAGAGAGATTTGGTACGATGTTGATCGTGCTTGTAGCATGTGACAACTCAGTAATTTCTCAACAGTTATTAAAACTTGAAGACTTGCAATAGCAAATTATATTTATTTTGCATCAAACCATCTCAACGCCTTCGGATGAAAGGGCAAGACAACCTAACTTAAAAATTTGGAAGGTTCTCTCAAATAATCTATTCAGATTTGACCACAAAAATAAACCAAGGATAAATTAATGTAAAAAGCTCATGCAAATTATTGTGCCATTAACCCAATTCATCCAGTATCAATGGTTGTATTGACCACAATCTATGTTCAATTTCATTCAGCTTAAAGTGCATGGTTGAATAATAAAAATGCCATTAGTATTTTGTGCAATAATTGTTCAATGTCTGGAGACACTGATTTGTGCAAATTTGATCTATTTGAACAGGGACATAGCTAGTGAGACATAAAGCAATGACGGACAAGTAATCAACAATGCGTTGGGATTACAAAAACAAAAGGGGCGTCACTGGCAGTGAAATGCCACCATGAAACTGATACAAGGACAAAGTTAGCAACATACTTCGATGATAATTGAGCTCAGAACAGCACACAGTCTCTGTAACCATCAAATTCTCTTCTTCAAGTAAATCGCTGCTTGTTTATTTGCAAAGTTCGCAATACAATTACTGTCGTGCAACACATCGTAATCTGGCTATGCTCACACTGCCAGGATCACCGCAATACAAAACTGCGTTCTAGTCTACCTGTGTTTGCACGAGCAAATTGAATAGCCAGGTGGAACTGTTACAAACGGGGCAATGACAATGAGTACACGCATTCCAATACCAGAATTGAAGTCGTGAAACAGCAGGAATTAGACTTTCATAAACGCAGCGCCAGCAAGGTAAATAGAAATCACTTCGTCATTCTTGATCTGGGATTTGAGGGATATCCATGGGCTGGCAAATGGTCACGGGAACTCCCAATCCTCCGTCGATGTCCATTTCGCAAGGAAAGACTGGAGGCGAAAACTCAACACTGCTTCTCATGTTGATGGTGTACAATGAACCAGTGGAGCAGTGAATTGAAGCGAACAGAGAGGCGATCAAACAAGAAAGAGGCATGAGACAGACAAAGAGAGAGAGCGAGGGCAAATTTTAAAAAAGAGAGATCGAAATGTAGCTCTGAGTTGCCGATGTCTACACCTTCAATACCAATTGCTTTGGGTACAAAAAACATTTCTATCGAACTTTTTGTGGAAGGGAAGTGATTTATATCCCAGATTTGCGCTCTTACAAATACACTATAGGAACTCATGTAGTTGTAACAAAAAGTGTGACTCAAGTGAAGAAATTTTTGAAAGATATGTTTGTGGAAGGGAAGTGATTTATATCCCAAAAAATATTTTTAATTCACAATCTTTTTAAAAAATAAAAAAAGAAAATACACAATTGAAGTTTCAACTACAAAGTGGGAAAGCTAAACCTATGCCATTGTCATGGATAATATGCAAAAAATTAGCTAATTTTGTTCAAGAAACTACTTATTAAAATATAAAAAAACATAAAATTATATTAAGAAATTTAAAGATGTACTAAAGTCAAATTTTGAAACTATGGATAAAAAAAATAAAAATCAAAAATCAAAAAATAAACTACTAATAACTATCTAATTAAAAAATAAAAATATATTTAATATGGAATTTAAAATCTCATTTTTAGGAAGAAGAATCTTAATAATATGGAATTTAAATTCTCATTTTTAGAAAGAAGAATCTTAATAGAATAAGAAGAAGTGCATTAAGAAAGTGCTACATAAAGTTGACCATGGAAAAAAAATAGGTTGTTGTAAGTCCAAATTAATATATTTCACCTACTATTCTTGAGATTTGTTTATTGTAATTATAAATATAAGACATATTAGAAAGTGCTCTCTTTAAAATGAGAAAAAGTTCTTTTGTTGTAGAAGTTAGTGTAATCCGTGGAATAAACAACAATTTTCTTTCAAATTAGCCTCTAAGAATTCTTGCTTTAAGAACTTAATCCATTAGTCATATAATTATCAATCAAATTTCATTGCAAAGTCCTTGACGAAGAGCAATATTTCTTAGTTGCATTACCAAATCTCAATCTTAAGACAAAACCTTGATCTAGCCATTCTAGATGGATTAAGTGACTTCATTTATTTGGCTGAATAAATATTATTGTTGTTGATACCATCTTCAACAAAAACTTTATTAGCACTTAGATATTTGTGTTCTTTTCCAAGAAATATGGCCAAAATCTTTTCATTAATATCATCCATATCATCATTCTTTGCAAATAAAATGATTCTACTTCTTAAGAAGGCATCATTTGTTGTACTATCTTTTATCAGCTTTACATAAACAACATCAATTAAAGACATTAATTGTCAATTGAAAATTATGTGATCAAAAAGCATAACCATTTTATTGAACAATAAGTTTGTATTTTTTTTAATGTCACAAGTGGCAAATAGAAATATTAGTCAATAATAATGCAACCATAAAGAATTCAAATGCACCACCATTATTATATATAATATGTATGTACATTCCATACTTGAAGAAACCAATTACCAAACTTAATATCTACTTGAAGTACTCCTAAATTTAACTTCATGTTTTCTTTTAATGTATGAATTTTTATTTGAAGCCAAAGTGTTGAACATCAAAAAGATGATGCTACAATTTCTTCTCAAGTTCCTTTCATAATCAATAACAATATTTGGCAAAAATCTTCACCAAAGACTACTATAGCTCTTCCAAATAGGCAAATAATATCCCAAATGTCTTTAAAAGAATGATCAATTGCCTCAAGAAAATGAAAATATTGCATCGAAAGTTCATCCCAAATAATAAGCAAAGTTTGGCAAATAAACTCAACATGGTTGAAATTCTTAGTAATTGAACAAAAATAGTCTTTGTTACAAACTAATAAAGTCTTGAACATAGAATAGGCAATTCTTCTTCTCTCAAGTAGTAATACAATAATTCTTAATAATGCAACATATATGACAATTTTTTGCATCAATCAAACTTTATTTGCCAATGTATTATAGACAAATGTCTTACTAGTTTTTGCAGGTCCATTTAGAAAAAAATATATATCTATATTCTTCTATTATAGAAGCTACAACATCATCATATACCTTTCTTTGTTCAAGATCCAATTGTGGAACATATTACTTTGAATTTTCTTCTAATTCTAAAATATTCGATATACTTTCTTCAATAATAAAATAATTTCTATTAACTCTTACAT